ATCGGTGACCTTCTGTCTTCACATCGGCTAGTCTTCGATTTTGCCAATGGCTTTAAGTATATACCAAGAGACCAATATACAAAGAAACAATAACTACTGAGTGTTGCTAAGGTAGAAGAACAGATCAGTGGGTCATCACCAAATCAATAGGTGACCCAACAGGGTCCTTATCGTATTAATTATTTATAAAGACATAAACCTATTGTATTAAATCCGATAAACTAAAAAACTAGCCTATTGATTTGTATAAACCAAACCCCAAACCTTGAATATGTTAACTTTCTTCGATGTGTAGTGAACAATAGCCATTTTGATGTTCCTTGTTTCTTTGTGAGATTGAGGGGTCAAGAGAGATGAGCGGACCTTTATTTAGTGTTTGGTTCGTCGGGTTTTGGTTTGTAAATAGAAGCTTAAAAAACACACAGAAGAAATTGTTGGCTTCAAAAGCTTGCCTTTATTCAACAAAGTACTGGGAAATTTATAGCCTTTTACAAAACAGAAAAAGAGAAAAATAAGCTAACTTAATCTACTGGATTATTGAAAAATCCTTAGGAATAGGACCCCTAAAGACTTGGTAAAACTAACAGCAAGGACTTGGTAAAACTACCAATAAACAACTAGAGCCAACATTCCCTCCCTTAAACTAAGCATAGGCTGCCCAGCTGCTTAGTTTAATTTACACATTCCCAACAAGCTTCTTAGTTTGTGAAATTGCTCAAGCTTAAGTGGCTTTGTAAATATATCAGCTATCTGCTCCAGACTTCCACATTGAACCAGCTCGACTTCCTTGTCATTGGAAAATTCTCTTAGAAAGTAAAATCGAACTCCTATATGTTTGCTTCTCCCATGCATAACAGAATTCTTAGATAATTTAATAGTTGAGCTATTATCATAGAAGATCATCACACATCTTTTACCCCTACATCCAAGACTCACCAGAATCTTCTTCATCCAAAATTGCTTGGCATGTGCACGCTGCAGCAGCTACAAATTCTACTTTCGTAGATGATAGAGTGACAATTGCTTGTTGTTTTGAAGACTATGCTACTGTTGCCGAGCTTAGCATAAAAGCGTAACCTGAAGTACTTCTCATATCATCCACAACCCTGCATAATCACAGTCGGTGAATCCTACTAACTCGTTATCGGAGTTCCTTGAATACAATTTCCTATAGCCACGCGTACCAGCAACATAGCGAAGGATTCTTTTTGCAGCCATCAAATGACTCTGTTTAGGCCGAGCCATGTATATGCTAACAAAGCATACTGAAAAACATCAAATCTGGGTGAGTGGAAGTGAGATACATCAAACTTCCTATAATTTGCTAGAAATAGGTGTTATCAACCGCTTCTCCTTGTTCATCCTTCGAGATTTTTGAGCCGATAACAATAGGATTATGAACCGCCTTGCAAGATTTCATTCCAAACCTTTTTAGGACTTCTAATGCATACTTCTTTTGACATATAAAGATACCACTGTCCAATTGATGAACTTCAATGCCAAGTAAAATTTTTATCTTACCCAAATCAGTCATATCGAATTCCTTTATCATCGACTCCTTAAATTATCTCATCACTGCCTCATTATCCCCAGTAAATATCAGATCATCAACATACAAACTTACAATCAAATGCATACCTGGATTCTTGCTCTTTAGGAATAGAGTCTGTTTATTGGAGCACTTCGTAAATCCATCCCTTAAGAAAAAACTTTCTATGCGATTAAACCAAGCTCGGGGAGCTTGTTTTAGTCCATATAAAGCTTTTCTTAATTTATAGGCCTTGTCGGGATTTCTTTCATCTACAAATCCTTGTGGTTGTTCAACATTGTTGATCCTCTCTCTCAGTGATTTGATGATAATCCCTTTTTCCTTTCGATGTATTTCTGTATCTGTAATTTCAGTTCCAGCGATCATACACTGAGCTTGTTCAGTGATCGCTGAAGAACTTGTTTTGAAATTCATTCAGAGACAACGATACTTCA